TGTATTATAATAAGCGGACTAATAAAAAAGACAGTATATAAATTACTTTAATGTTTCTATTGAACTGCTCATACTACCATTGCATTTAATTGTAGTTATTAACTTGTGTCTTCCTTAAATGAAAAGCATTGCAATTTTTATCATCAAATTTAAGCTTTTTGATAAATAGTGAAATCACTCACTCACATGCAATAATTTCTTCACGGAAATTTTTTTTTTCTGATAACTTTTGATATGAGATCAGTTGCTCGATTTTATTCAATAAATAATCGTAATAACAATGCAGTTAATGACAAATAGGACAATCATAAAATGATAGAAGCTGACAATAACATTTTGAATTTAAATAACAATCAAAGTAATATAAAGCAGTAAGCATTGCAAAATATTTTTAATATAAAACAAATTTGAACTTTTGTAGTTGACAACACAAAAATTAAAACAACAGTTAAAGAAAAAAATCAAGAGATAATCATGGATATTTGATCAATTCTTGATAATTCTTGATTGAATAACAAGAAAAGCAAACAACTTGATAATTATTTTACTGCAAAATTGCAATAAAAAAATATTCAATAAAATTTATGAATGAAGTTTCTATAACATTTTTTGTGAATTCTTTTCAAAAACATGCAAAATGCTTTCATGAACAAAATTTTGTAGACAAAAATTGGTCTACACAAAAGTAAGCTTAAAAATTTTTGTTGTTTATTAGTTACTTATGCAAAGCTAAATGAAATTTGTTTGAAAGCAAGCAACTGAGCAATATGAAATTGTATTACAAGTTACTGCGTGATATGTTAATATATTCACTACAATTAAATGCAATTTAAAATTTAATTAAATTGCAGTTTTTACAAAAATTAACTGATGACAGTAACAAATTGTCAGAAAGCATTTAGTTACTTTAATATAAATATAAACCATTGTTATCTCTTCTTTTTTTTTGTCTAAAGTGTTATCTTTACATTGTCACAAATGAAATGGTTCCTTCTTGTGAATAAAATTGGCTTTTTGCTGATGTACGAAGAAGAGAAATTGGTGTGAAGAGTACAACCATCAATTTTTGTTCAGAAATTGCCCGAACAAAAAGTGTAAGAAATTTTTGCAGTTCAAATATTCATACATACATACACACACAAACATACACACAGAACACACACGCACACGCACGCACACACACACGCATAGAACATACACATCGATCTCAAACAAACAAAACGCCGTTGAATTTAAAGCTGACATATCCAAAGTTTACATCATCATTTCTGTTCCTTCTCTCAACTATTTGCTTATTTTTTGCTAAGTTATTGACTAGAAACTAAATATAAAAAGTAACTGCTGCTTTATTGTTTTCCATAAAAATCAGTCAACTTTATCTTTTCAACGATAACAAACTGTCTTGCATAAATTTTCATTTAATTATTGTTTCGAAAAAAAATTAATTCTATTCTATTTTTAGGAGTGCAGAACGATAATTCTGTCTGTTCTTTTTTTTTTAAAAAAAAGTATTTATTTTATATTCATAATTATTGGTTGATATCGCATACTTTTCTAATAATAATAAGTTTTATAACTGATCGAGAAAATAAAATAAAATTCATGTGAGTATACTAAAAATGAGAATAGAGCAATATGTATTCTACTTAACTGAAAAATAAATCAAATTTATTGCTGCTTCAATATATTGTTAACTATCTTGCTTTAAGCTATTCATGTTTTATATTTGAAATAGGTTCTGCAGAATTTTTAATGCTTAAATTACTTAGTGTGACAAAATTAGACAAGAATAGATAAAAAATTATCACACGGAACAAATTAAACCAATAAATTGTGTAAAGAATAATAGATAATAAATAAAGAGTCATTCATAATTTTTCTGCAAGAAAGCCAATATTGAAATATTCAGTGCAAGAATATTTGAATGTAGTATGTTTGCTTTCCGTTTGGCTTTCTTTGACCGCAATTCAGTTGCATAATGATAGTGCCGTTGATGTCAACATTACTTTCAATCTATAATTTATTATTTTGTAGTAAACAGACCTAAACTAATCATTCTAACAAATTGAAAATTTTTTTGCCATATAAATTTGATGAGAAATATATTTTACAAATTACAAATTATTACTTGTTTCTTTTTTTAAATATACATTTTACTTTAATCGCAATATTTGTTTTGTTTCTAAGCTTTTCACTTGCAAAAACTTGCAAGCGACATATCAGATAATAATAATAATAATAATGATAATAATAATAATAATAATAATAATATAATAATAATAATAAATAATAATAATAATAATAATAATAATAATAATAATAATAATAATAAATATAATAATAATAATCTAGCAATAATTGTTATAGTTTCTTTTTTCCGTGTTACTAAGAATTCTTTAATTGCAAATAATAATATCGATATATCATTTATGTAAATTACGATTATGACATGAATATGCATTGAAGATAGAAATAGTATTTTTGTATAATACTATTGTCATATAGAAAGAGTGTGAAACTGCGATAATTACAAAAATATTGTCTTGCTATAAAAGTTAATTGAAACCCCCTAATTAAAACTCGATTACGTGTGCAGAAAAAGAAAAATCACTTAAATAACCTTGTAATAATTTTAGCTAATTTTTAACTATTCTCAATTAAAGTACTAATGAAAAATTTTCATCATTAATTTTTGAAAAGCGCTTTTAAAATAAGTTAAATATGTTTCTGAAAACAATGAAATTGTTCAAAAAAATCATTGCTGCTCTATTTTTGTTGTCATAGCAAAAGCTTTCTATTTTATTCAATATTGAGCTATTTTTATGTATACTTGCTAACGAAATCCGTCAATTTCTGATTTGGTTCTCTTTTTAGGGTAAAATATTGAAATAAATTTAATAGAACTCGGGACTGACACAAAATCTTATTCCATCTTCACCCATTTATAATAGAAAAAGAAAAAGTTAGTGTAATTACAATGCAAAGAAGTATTCATGTTAGTCTAGTCTAAGTAATATCTGTCCGTCTAAGGTCATTTCTTGTCTGCATCGTATTTTGGCTTGTGAATGTTTTCCAAGAACATTTAACTTTCTATCTTTCTCGTCACAAGAGCCACCATTCTATGTAAGCTTTCTACTACTATAAAAATACATTAAAATACTTATAATTTTATCATTTTTCTATCCATTGCGAGACTTTGGAAGCCTCTATAACTTCCCCACTTCTATTTAATAACATCTTTTCGAAACGTCTCATCATTCATGTAATAAAACTGTGTGAGTGAAAGCTGGAAGTATACTTGTAACAGATTCTTTTTACTACTGTTAAATGAATAACTGATTCTGCAAACTATAATAAGCTAAATAAGTACGTAAATGACTATTTAATTAACTAATCAAATAAACATAATAAGCAAATAAACTATCAGCTAAATAGAGAAAATGGACGTATTTTTTCTTATAAAAACAATTGCTACCAGAAATTAGCGCTCTCTACGCTTTTCATCTTAGTTGTGAGAATGCAGTGATGCGTGCTAGTCATTTGTTCACTTTGTTGTATCATTTATTATTCAAATTTTTAATAATGTTTTAATTAGTTTCAAACCTGCAACTTTCATGTATCCAATTCGGGTCTCACCAACACGATGCTACAAGAAAAGAAAACAATTGTATTGTAAGAGTAGAATAGATAAACGAGTAAAAAAGACTTCTGTCTGCACACAGGTCAAACATCATAAAATTAATCTGCTAAAATACGAATTTGCAACGTCTGAATCTATAAATTAATAATTAACATATTTTTACTATATTTAGCAGACTAAATTACATGCAATGTCATCTGAAATACAATAAATGTAGAGAGGATGCTTTCATACTTATTTTAAACATATTTATGCTTAACTAATTGCTTCAAATTATCAATGCACAAAATCTTGTTTCTTGCGAGACTATTACAGATTGCAACTCACACGGTAACGTCTGATTTCACTTCTATTGTCAGGGTTGTAGAGCACTTAAATCGTAAGAGCAGAAATAAATTATCGCATGGCAAAACGCGATACATTGTCGCAATATAGCACAGTTTAGACGGAGAAAGGAAAGTCTGGTTGAAGCCAAACTTGCCATTTTGGAGTCATTTTGAGAATTAGAGTAGAGTGAAAACAATGTTGAAAAGCGTACAAACATTGGTGAGGATGAGAGCGTCAAATGTTTTCCAATTATTCATGGATAATTTATGCCATCACCCATCTTTAATTTTACTCAAACCTCATCTAGTGAAAGTAACTCGGCAAATCGTATATTAATAATGGTAATTAAACTTTCAAATGTAAATTTACTAATGGTAACACTTTTAAACATAAAAACTTTGCAGTTTTTTTTGTTATTTCTATTTCTCTGATGAAGACTTATTTCAGATTATTTGAGAAGTTTACATTGATCAGTTGATGTTTTACAGCTTTTTGTTGCATACTGCAGTGACTAAGTTTGCTATAATATTAATGATATATAAATATTTAAATTTTTTACTCAGATTATATAAAATAATCTGATTAGTAATGAGTTATATCATTCTTTCTGTTCATAATTTTAATAATTTTTTAATAATTCAGTAAATTATCCGTGGCGTTAGCCTTTTAAGCTCAAATTATCATTACTATTTGTTTTTATGAAACCATAATAATTATCTAATTTTTCTCATGTGATATAGCTATTGCATTAACTGACATCAAAATTTTTATTTTACTGAGTGCTACACATTCTAATAATATGATAATAAATTTTGTCATAGAATGGAATGCAAAATATTACTTTTGGCGTCATATAATGCTGTCATTGTAATAAACAGAATATAGAATAAATTGGTAGTAATTTCTGTTTTTTCCCTCAGTAATCGTGGAGTGATCGATAGAAATTATTTGCCCCTACGAAACAATATCACCTCAAATGCTTTGTTAAATGTGAACGGTGCTGGTCTCCATTTTCTTATTTTTCCATACTTTTATGGCCGGTGAAAGTGATGATGATGATTTCGGTGGTTTCGCCTGTGATTGTATTGTATCACAGCTATATGAAGCATTACCTGGATCGCCTGGTCACAGGGGTTTGTTTCTTACTACATTCATTCTTTTTAATTTTCCACCATATTCAGAGCTAGCATTTTAGGAGGATAGCAGATGTAAGACTGAACGAAGTAGCAGATTGTGTAGTTATTTCAGAGTGATCTCATGTAATTTGCATTTTAATTAGTATCATTCTGGATAAAATGTTTACCAGCTTAATGCAACTTTTATTACACTATAGTGCAATGGTTACAGTTAAAAAGAGTCTAAATAATGTTGATGACCTACATGTTTCTCGTACTTCAATTTTTCTGCTTATTTTCTCGTGCTTCAAACTTTTATAGTTAAGGAAAAATAGATTTGTAAAGTTTCAGAGAAGATAATACAAAAGAAATCTCATTTGTTTTTTGTTTATTTTATGTCAGTAAGGACATGTACGCTGTCCAGCTTATTAAAAAACTTTATAATCACAAAAATGCCTTTTTCATGAACTGCATACAGCACAAAAGTTAAGCTTAGTTCCTTGTTGCCAAATTTTTTTACATAAGAATCAGATTTTTTCCTTCGAGCAACCACTGAGTCATAAATTCAATATGATGTACCTAAGAGTGTCTGTTCCTACCGATCAACAAGTGCACATAACGGACAATTTACTATTTGTCGATTAGCTTAAGCTCAGAGGTTAGAAGTCAGCCATACCAAGTCAGCTAGTAATAGCGGGATATTTGCTGATACGATGGTACTCTTGGAAGGAGCTCAAGGATATAAATACTTTAGAGAAATAGAAGATGGCTCTAATGCATTTGTTGGAGAAACTATTATAAAGTTCAAGCAAAGTTTTTGGTGAAAATTGGGCAATTATTCATAGCTGCACTAGATGGCAGGAAGTATTTGACTTATTTCAGTTGGTACCATTCCATATTCATCAGTATATGATAGCCAGGATCAGGCACGACGACGTGGTTACTGGATTCCTGGTGTTCCAGTGAAAGCTCAGATTATTGATGTAAAACGGGATCAAAAATTTGGACTACATCTCATAAATGCTTATCTGTAAGTTTCTCTTTAAATTAATGGTTTCATTATTCTTCAGTTAGTACTCTAAAAAAAGAATTTTGTGAAAATGGTGCCTTATCTTTTAACTTAATGGAGGTCCTTACGCATTGGAAGAGATTTAAGAGTAGAATTAAGAAATCATAGGAAAGTTGTAGTTTACTTTATTTGAGGATTATGGGTTTTGTTTATAGATATACAATTGAATTAGAGCATGGACCTTTTCGATGGACAGTTGTAAAACGAAATAAAGATTTTGCAGTTCTTGCTGCACGATTACTTACGCATCGTGCAGCTGAAAGAATACGTGGCCCTGTTAGAAGGTATTTTTTTTTTCGTTACATATTGTTGAAAAAACGCGAATATTTTTACTGATGAAGTTTACTTAATTTTTTCTACTGTAAAACCAAAGTGAGAGAATTACCAGCTGGTTATTAGTACACTAAGCTTGTTTTTTATTTTAATTTCAAAAAAATTAGTTAAGGTTGCTGTTAAACTTTGAAAATGATTTAAAATTATGTGATGTGTTTTAAGAATTTGGAAGATAACTAGATTGATTAAGTTTTAGTAATGGAGCTGATTATGTCTCAACTTTGTTATTTCTCATCAAAAAAGGACTTTGAAAATTTTCGTATAAAAATAATACATTTGAAAAGTAAAAACTTACTAGCAATGATAGGTCGTTTCGTGTTGTGATATTATCTTGATTTTATAAATCTGTCAATTTCAAATAGAGATTTATTTGTGATGTAAATGATATTGCTTTTTTACGTCGTCATCAGGTCATTACATTCCATGTTTTTTGATTCAAATGAATTGAAATTATTAAAATGGATACAAACTCTTTTGTAACTCTTTTTTCGTTTTCGATTTAGGCTGCGACATAGGAAACATCTGTAATTTTTATTTATTATTTTTGTCCAGTATTTACTTTTATCAATATTCATATCTTATATGTTTGTCTTATGCTTAGTCTTTGTTGCATGCCTTACATTCATTATCTATACTCATGACAAGCATCATTTTTGTCGAGCAATTCATGTTATTTTGTTTTTTTATGCCTGCGATTATTACTGTCGGAGAATTTGTTTTGCAAAGGTAACTTTAACATGTAATCATAATTTGTAAAACATTTTTGAGCAATTTTGGACTTCATCTGATTTCAAATTTCTCGCGAAAATAATTCGGAATATTGTGGATAACGTGATTACTGTAATCTATTGTGAAGTCATGTGTGTGTTTATTTTCGATTATCGTCAAGTTTGTGTGTGTATTTCTTTGTAAGTCAGTGCATAGTTTCCAGTAGTTTCATGGAACAAATAGCTGTAAAATTTTTTTGAGGAAATGCATGTTCACATCTCTGTTAATGGTTCATTATTTTATTCTTATTTTTAAAAGATTATTTTGATGAAAAAATGTTGCAGAGCTCAAGAAGTGTTGGATGACGCTCTCGAATGTGTCGGTGTTGATATATTATATCATCAAAATGATTGTCCGTATTATAAAACACCAGAAAGCAAAAAGGTTCTTTTTTAATGTTTTAATAGTGTGTGTATGCATCCATTATTCATTTTTCTTTCAGACGAGTTCCTCAAGCCAGTTAATCAGTGTAAGTGATGATGTACAACTGAGTCGTCCTAGTGAAAAGGATGGTATTACTGAGAAACATGCGCAGTCAAAGGATTCAGACAATAGTAATGCTCATAATTTGAGTAGTGCAAATTTTGTTCATCCAGAATATAAAGATTTCAGTAGCACATACTTCGTTTCTATTTTTCCCTTGTTTTTTAAATTATGTCTGTTTGTTCACTGATTCTCAATACACATATTAGAACTCTCAAAGAAGCCTTAAACAAGTGTTCTCGCGTATATGATTGCATGAGGTGACGTTTTTTAGTTTCATCTCCAAGCAGAGAAGAAATTTTGGAACGAAGAAGTCATCGATTGGCAGAAGTAAAGCGACATCAGTTACCATCGCTTGGATTTGTTCCTGATGCAGTTAGTGATCCGAATGAACGCCGTGTATGCACTGTTATTGTTTCCATTTCTCGTTTAGAGCGAATTTTTATGTATCATAGTCTAATGGTTCACCGCAATGTCTCACTACACCATTCGGAAATCGAGATCAGTTCGATAATCAGTTTTTTTTCCATAATGGATAAAGGATTTGTTACTTTCGTTATTTTCGAAAATCTGGTTTTGTTTAGTCGCTTAATTTGTCCAAAATTTAAGCATATAAAGTAGTGTTGTATGTTTGATATTATGTAACTGCTGAAGTGATAAATAGATGCGCAGAATAAAATTATGGTTTTTCCAGGAAAAACTGGAAAAGTGGCTTCAAGCAGTATTGCATATTCCCGTGAATAGGAATCATCATGAAACAGTAAGCGTGTAGAAAAGTTAAAATTGAAAAGTAAAAGCATAGTTTTTGTTTTTTTTTCCTTAATATCATTGTTTTATATCACTTATTTCATGAGATATATTCAGTGAGGTCCTCAAACTTCATGAGTCCACAGTTGATTTATTTTTGTATTGGCAGTAATACACTCTTTTTTAGTCTTGCTAATACGCACATATTTTTAGATAATGCATGAGCGTCGAAAGATTATAAATCAGTTGACTTGATATAAAATGAAACACTAAAGAGCTGTATTCTTTTATTGAAACTAAAATTTTCAAACAGGCAGAATTTTTGGAAGTGTCACGCTTTTCTTTCATTAATGAATTAGGCGGTAAGTACTGTGAAAGTTGTGTGAAAAAACGTCCGGGTGGTGGTCGCGTTTTTATTGGATGGAAACAATTCTGTGTTCGTCATTGCTTAAGGTGGTCGAAGCGGTGGCTGATTTTGAAAGTATGAAAAAAAATACATCTTACCTGTACTGTTTGAGCAAAAAATATGAAAAAGAACAAAGTTTCTGTTAGACTGTTAATCTTTTCATAGGATTCATCTATTTGCTATATGGATCCAAGGACCGAGCAAATGCGTTTTGTTCTTTTATTTGATCGAGAATTTGGTGTTTCTGCTGGAAGTACCGAGACAGAAGGAATGCCAAGTGGATTAGTTATTAGCAATCAGCAACAGTGAGTTAAACTTTTTCTTCGCACATTTAAAAGAAGTTGGTAAACATGATGTAAATTCAAAAAAAGTGAAATAGGTGGAAAATTAGAAATTATTTGATTATTCTTTTCTTTGCTGCTGTTTTTTCACTGTTAAAAAATACTAATGAATGGTCGTTCAACGGAGATTACTGTCAGCATGCAAACTGTCGTGAAAAATCAGTAGTATTTGAAATAATTATGTGTTTTTAGCGTGTTGGCATTAAAATGTCCGACACCTCTCGATGCTGTGCAGTGGAAAACAGCAATTCTTGAATCAATGAATGGCGTTGGACGAATATGGCTGGAATGTCATCCTTATGCGTCAACGTTTCCAGTGCGACGTGCTCAAAGTGTTCGGTGGTGTGTACTAACTTATTTTTTCAATTTTAATTAAAAACGCAATTAAGTTTTCATGAATTGTACGCAAAATTTTCTGTTTCTTATAGTTTTGTTGATTCCCGATCATTCATGGAACATGCTGCAAATATGATGGAGTTAGCGAGCGAGGAGATTTTTATTGCAGGCTGGTGGCTTTCTCCAGAAATTTTTATGAAAAGACCACCGGTAGAGGGGAATCGCTGGAGACTTGATGAAATTTTAAAGGTTTTTAAAAATATTGCATATTAGAAGTTAAAGGATGAAAGATAATCATTGAAGGAAAAAAACTTTTAGCAGTTTCTGCGGTTGCTAATAAAAGTATCCTTCAAAAAATTTGAAAATATCGCGTATCATTGGAATACGCATGGACATTTTGAGTGGTATTATTCTCGTAAGTTGGAATTTGTGCTTGGAAAGCTATTAAGAGCATATAATTGTAGCAATTGTTTTTCCTTTCTGTCATATTTTCAGAGAAAAGCTGAACAAGGAGTCAAAGTATTTGTTCTTCTGTATAAAGAAATGGAAATGGCTTTAGGGATCAACAGCATTTATACAAAACGAACCTTACAGAGTCTGCATAAAAATATCAAGGTGTCTTCTTGTGGGCTTTATTATTAAAAAATTTTGAGAAATGGTTTTATGTTTCACGGGTGTGATAAGGAAATGTTATTCATTATTTCGAAAAAACCATGCTTGTGAGTAATGTAAATATAATATGAATAAACATTTTTTAATTTATAATTTGGGGATATGCTTCCAAGTTTCTGTAATAATGTTATGTACTTTAAAAAAACAGTTATTAAGGTGCTTCGCCATCCAGACCACTATCTCTCGTCAGGAACATTTTTTTGGGCTCATCATGAAAAGCTTATTATTATTGACCAGCTTATAGCATTCGTTGGTGGTGTTGATTTATGTTTTGGTCGTTGGGATGATTGTCGCCATAAACTTACTGATTGCGGTTCGGTGAAATTTTCAGAACAGCACGAATTATGTATGAGTGGTCTTTCTGTGGTTTGTTTTATCATTTGTCGTAAAATAAGTTAACAGTATCCTATAATCTAGTCCAAAAACACTTTTTACTCTAAAAAGTGATCCAGAAACTATCTATGTTTACCATACTAATGGAAATATCTGAACATGACGTCAAAATTTCTTTATATTCAACATATTTTGTTTCAAAAATGTAACTACATTACCATAGGATAGATATTAGTAAATCTTTATTATATTGACTTAGTTTTTAACTGTCAGAAAATGAAGCCCAGGATTTATGTTTTAGACAAAAGGTATAAGGAAATTAGTAACTGCAGCCGGTACATTGTCTCCTATCGGATTAGAAGAAGATGAAGAAGTGGCTACAAAAAAAATTGGTTTTGATGAAGTTGATTGTTTAAGTAAACGTATAGAAGCAGAAACTCTTGAGGAGAAAAAAAAATCAACAGAAAATGTAAAAAAGAATTCATTAAGTTTTTTGAAGCAGAAGTCGTTTAAAGAAGGTGGAAATGATGAAGGTTAGTAAACTCAGTTTTGAAATAGAATAAATATTACTTCGGTCAGCCTTTTCTCCTTTCAAAATGAATTTTCTTTTTATTGGTTCATTTGAGTATCTTTGTTTCGTGCTCTAGTTTATATAAGTAGTGCACTTTTTATTCTAATTCAGAATTTAGTGAAATTTGTTATTTATATTTTTAAGTATGCTGTCTCACATCAAAATTTTATTCAGGATTATTTTAGTTTTAAATGGGCGAATAGAAATTGTTGTATGGTTATATCGTAATCCAATATTTTCAGTTTTCTGTGCTAATAAGTGTGTATCGACCGTAGCAGTTTCAGAAGCTTTCAATTTCATTAAAAAATAATAGTTTATAAAGGATGCGATATGCTTATGATTGAATTTCATCGGAATCTCATCATTTAAAATAGTGTGTTGGCTAATTACTCTTGTTCAGGAGAGAAATTGCCTCGCAAGTCATGTGAACATGGTGGCATCTTTTTATCAGTAGTTAAACGTACGCAGAGTGCAGTCAGAAAATCAAAATCATCAGTTGAAGCACCACCTATAGAAATGCTGAATATGAATGCTGGAAAAATGAACATTCAAGATGCAATGAATAAGTATAAAGTATGATCACAAAAGTTTTTTGGTATATAATATTTAGGAAGGAAAAGATAAGTTACAGCGGACATGCTTGTATTAATGGCGGAATTTTAGTTTTATTTTCCCCCAAAAAAATGGACAGTTAATGCAGAGTACTATAGTCATGGTTACCTGTAATCTTGAATCATAATTGGGAAGTTTTTTCCTATTCTAGTTTTAAAGCATTTATTTTCAGGCATATGTGCAAAGTGGAAAAGCAGAAGAGGTTAAGCACAATGCTGAGAAGAAGTCAACTCCTCCTCGACAACGCAAAATATTGTCAAAAGTAGCTCTCAGTTTTAAGCCATCATCAGCGAGGAAACGCTGGCAAAAGGTGAAACAAGAAACTACCCGATATGATCTTAGGTAGTGTTTTGGAGTAATTTTAAGTTTATGCTTCTAACAGAAATCTTTTTGCTTAAATTGAGGTCATCTTTCTATTGACATTTTTAGTGGACACACATTTTTTAGTTATTCAAGTGATGAACTATTCAATCAATTGTCTGTTATTAGCAGTGAAATATCATTAGCATGTTTATTGCATCTGAAATGTATAAAGCGTTATTTGATTAGCCATTTAGTTTTTGCAGTTTTTAGAATAGTTACATATTTTTATTTGTCGAAATTTTATGTCATGAAATAGGTTTTAGCTCTCAGTGAACTGCAGTTCTTATGAAGTTAGGCTGTTAATACTTCGGTCAAGTTAATCACTAACTGATAGAAAGGTTGGCGTGAAGTCTGTATATTTTTTCAGATAAGATAGTTTTGCAGGTATATGGAACTGAGTGATCAAGATGAGAAAATTCGTACCATAGAAGAGCAGATAATGGGTGCTGGAAAGCTGTGGCTCGGGAAGGATTATGTTAATTTCATACACAAAGATTTTGTTGAACTGGAAATGCCCTTCCACGGTATTTTGACGTTGATTTTTTGAATCAATATTAAGAATTGTTGGCATTAAAAGTTTATAATCTGTTTCTGTTTATTCTCATGTTGCAGTGGATTTAATTGCATCATATAACTTGCGTCAAAGTTTAAAACTCTGCGGTCTGTTTAATCTGCTCGAGAAAATAAGGATTCCAGTCGTTTCAGTAATAAATGTGTTGCATTTTATGTTAAAAAATCTCGGAGCGATAGGTTAAGAATGTCATCCAATTTAGTATGGGATATAAGTTATTGACAAATTGTTTTAAAGTCAGAAATATTTGGTATTTCTGTCCTGTCAATTTTTGAATTACTAGCGTAGTCAGATGCAAATCATTGATCCACTACTCTCTAATTCATAAGTAATTCTAAGTTTTCAAAATTTTCGAACACTCAATTGACATTATTTACGTGTTAGAAAACAATTATGGATTTTTTTTGTTTTCAGTTTCGCATCATAAATTTTGTAGATTTCATTGATAGAAATTCTACTCCCAGAATGCCTTGGCACGATATCCATGCATGTACGTATGGAAGTGCTGCACGTGATATTGCTCGGCACTTTATTCAGAGATGGAATGCAACAAAAGTATTTTTTATGTCAAGTTGATATTTGGCTTTAAGATGTTATGACATGAATGTTCAAACTTGAAGATCACTAAAAAAATTTGGTTTCAGCAATGTCTAAAACTTCCGTGCATTTATTAACAATTGGTAGTTGATAACCTTCAAGAAAAATTTGTTAGACTTAGTAACTATTGATACTTTTCAGACTGAAAAGTCGAAAGAATTGAAGGAATATCCGTTTCTGCTACCCAAATGTTATGATTCCATAAAGGTACCTCGTGTTCTAGAAACAGATAGTGATTTAGCTGATGTACAGGTCATACGCTCTGTTTCTAAATGGTCATCATTAATTAACGCTACAGAAGACAGCATTCAACAGGTATTATCCTTGATCAATCCTTTTTTTAGTACTGAAAGTACTGGGAGCTGTACTGTATTCAGCTTTATAACATGGAATGCAAAAATTATGAAAAGTATATTTTTTGTCAAAAAATTTCCCTAGTAGATTCTCATTCATTTCATTAAAAAGTGTTGTGATATATCTCAGTTGTGGTATTTCATACATATGTCTTTCCTACTGAATTTATTTTAATACGTAAAACTCTTTAAGTCAACTTTATTTTTCAAACAATTTTTGGTTTTTGTATTTTACTTAGTTGTAAAATAACAACTTATGTAATTCTGGCATTGATTTTCAGGCATACTTGTCTTTGATTGCTAACTCCCAACATTTTGTTTACATTGAAAATCAGTTTTTTGTTTCGATCATTGATTCTGTTGATGTAAGAAACGAGATATGCAAAGTACTTTGTGAACGAATCAAACGAGCCTATCGGTTGATTTCCAACTTTTATTTTTTAAACTGTTCGTATCTTTTTATCACTTGCACTCGGTTTGAAAATTGCTTCCTAATTATCCGTTTCAGTAGTAATGAGACCTTTCGAGTGTATATAATGCTACCTCTGCTTCCTGGTTTTGAAGGAGACATAGGGGCACCAGGTGGTTCAGCTTTACAAGCCGTTCTGCATTGGACTTATAAATCGCTTTGTCGAGGACCTGGATCATTGATCGAGAATCTCAAAAAAATTGTACCAGATCCAATGGAATATGTTCATATCGGTTCTCTACGTACTTATGAAATCCTCTCCGGGAAACTGGTTAGAATCTATTTTCATCCAAACTATTTACATATTTGCTTAATGCTTCATATATCTCATAAACTTTCGCAAATTTGATAGAATTCTTAGAAGCTGTAAATTCTTAGTTCATAATAGCAGTAAATTTTTAAGCAATGTAACTTATTTGTTAAAAAATTATATGCTTGAGGTGTTTGCAAAGTATCTGCAGTTTACTGCAGAAGTTCATATGATTACACTGCTTGAAAGTTTATTGCTTAATCCTACTTTAATCAATAATTAAGGGATTCGTGAAGAATGTTTAAGTCTTGTAGAAGCTAATAAGTTACTTTTCAGCTAACAGAACTAATTTATATTCATTGTAAATTAATGATCGTGGATGATCGGTATGTGATTATTGGTTCGGCCAACATAAACGATCGTTCCCAAGCGGGTAACAGAGATTCAGAAGTATGAATTGCTCATATTTGCGCTGTAATACGAAAAAGTAACAGAGTTTCTCCACAAATTTCCTTTTCATAATTCGGCTTTTTATATATTTTTTAGTTCACTGTATGTTGATATGACCCATTTTTAGTCCAGGTTATCAAAAAAACTTTTTGATCGCCAATTTTCAGCTATATGTTTAAGAAACCCGGTTTTTCATTATGCTTTGTAATTCAGTCAATCATGTCACACCTCTGATACTTTATTGAAGATTAATTTATTCACTCCTAATTCTTAACTATGCTGCATATAGGTTTGTATTCTTATCAAAGATTTCGAAAATGTACCCTCAAAAATGAACGGAAAGCTCTATGATGCTGGAAAATTTGCATTGACTTTGCGAAAGCGACTGATGATGGTTAGTGCTTCCATCAATGTAAACATATATTAAGTAATTTATTATCAATGGATACTTCTGCTTCTTTAGTCTTCTTTGTGCAATTTTCATTACCATTGACTTCGTTGTCTTCATTTGGTATGATTGACTTGCTTTTTATTAATGCAGTATTTCAAACAAAATTTTCTGTAGAGCATTCAAAAATTTTCAGGAGCATTTGGGGTTACTTCCAGAACAGAAACGGAAACCATTAAAAAGGGAAATAGATTTGGATGATCCCGTAATTCGCTCATTTTTTGTTGGTACATGGGGAGCTATTGCTAAGAAAAATACTGAGATATTTGAAAAAGTATGTTTTTTGAATCGGAATAGTGTTTTCACATTTTTAAACATGGTAAGTTGAAGGAACGTCGTTATTGATATAGTAGTGAGATTCTTCATGTTTGCTTAGGTACTTTTTCAGAGTAGTTTAATTTTGTATATTGGATTTCTTATTTTGCAATGTATTTCATATATTAAGCGAATGATATTTTCAGGTTTTTAATGTCATTCCTTCTGACAAGCTGCGAGACTTTGAGGAATTACGATTACATATGTTAAAAGTACCGTTAAGTGAATCGATACCACAAGTAGCTGAAGAATATCTTCGAGATCTAGTCGGAAATCTCGTGGAATTTCCATTGAACTTCCTTGCACATGCAAATCTTGCACCGGGACTTACCTCTAAAGAGGGTATTGTGCCGTCATCAGTTTTTACGTGAGCATCATTATCCGGACAGCGTTATGGGTTACTCTGTTTTTGCAATTTGTAAACTTTTTATTGAATCTCGTTTTCAGTTGATCAATTTATTTCTCTATAGACAAGTAATTACTGACTTATTTTTTCATTTGTTTTGTTATAAATGTACTGAAATTTGTTCAGTTTGTTATAAATTCATTTCTTACAATCAATATTATGAAATGTGGAACATATTGTGGGTCATATGGGTCGTTAGATAAATTATTCAATTTTCAAGCTTCCGAAGTTTTTTTTGTATTTGTTCAGCCCATTTTATGTTTAATTAAAATGAGTTTATAAAAATTATGCTTTGTAAAATTTTGCGATTTGGTAATGAATTGAAAAAATATTAATAATACATTTGCCCAAGTACTGATTTCAGAGTTTACTAATTATTTCTGTATTGATCGAGATCCTTGGTTTTTAGTTAGTTGTCAAATATAATTTGTATCCGTCTTTCTATTTTTCATGTTCTCTTGCTCTAGTATCGATATGCTTCAACAAAAGTCATTATTTTCAGAAAATTCAAGTTCTTTGATTTGTATAATCTGAGGTACTCTTGATTTCAGTATGGAGTTGTTGATGTAGTGCATGTTCTTTACACTAATTTCTTATTAATATTGTGTTAACAAATATTTGTTCACTTATAATATTCTTGCAATAATAAACATAGTTACCAGTTTCTAAAATCTGCTTCTTCTGGTTTCGCAGCGAGCTAAATTTTCTTTACGTCTATTTTTCGTTTTGGAGTGTGCTGGAATTTCAGCTATCAATCTTGTTTTTCTAATAAATTTGTTTCAGTTCTGTTTTTAAAGGCAGAAGAGTTACTTGTCTATTAATTCTTCCCAACTAAATTGATGAAATTCCATATTTATCTTTTATATTTTGTCAGATGATAATTTTGATATTTGCTGGGAGTCGAGATAACCATGAACTTAGTGAAGCTTAAATTTGTTTGCTGCGCTTGCAGTTTTTGCTTGTTTTAATTGCACGACGTTGGGGTTTTAGATTTCCTTGAAACATCCAGAGGTAGTTGAAAGAAAAGCGTGTAGTTGCAATTCAGTAGCATGTGTCATGTGGACTGAAAGAGATGAACTCAACTCGCGAAGGTTAGTGCTTTTGTTTTTTGACAGGAATCTAAAGTCTTGTAATATACTTACTAAGTACTTGAACAGATTGCATCATTAATAACAAGAATTACCAGCCAAGTATTAATGTAAATAGTTGGTAATAGTCCTTATCAAATCATTAGTTATGTTTCACCCATTGCATTGGTGAAAGCTTCAAATATCAATCATGAGAACCGTCAAATTCATTAGGTTACCTTAAATCATTTATTCGTGGGAAAATATCAGGTATAATTCATCCTTGTTGATGTAGAACACAGCTATTGATTTTTTTCAAATTTAGCAACTGTGGTATATTTCAAAAAGCTTAGATAGAGGTTCAGATCAATTCTTTTTTTTATGAAAAGTAAACGGTATTATGTATTTTGAGATCTTTTGTTATGTATGTTTATATACTTGTTGTTTATTACAGATAATACTTTGCAAAAATCTCAAGATGCGCCAAATTTTTTATGTGCTCAAAACCTTCCCGCTTCATTTATCCCATCAGTTCCATCGCAGATATATCCTCCAACAGAATCGTTCGGGAATGCGTTATTTGTTGGCAATATAAATGCAGACAATTCAGGAAACTCCTTTCAAATTGTTTCTCCGAATAGTTTCTCCGCAGTTCCAGGTTTTTCTGCTTTACCACTGCCACTGCTTGTACGCGTGTCATACTTGCGCTATATTTATCCTTGCAGTTGAAACCGTCAGAAGTAGTTTAGTTTCAGAACAGTTTGTGGCAGTTTCAGAAAGCCGTACTATTTCAAGCTCATTAGTTGTGATATAACGAACTTGTATTTTCAGCAACAGCAGTCTCTATACCAATGTTGCAATCTTCACAAATGAGTGCTTCAAACATTTTACCAGAGAACAAAGCATTGCCATTAGATGAGAGGGATGAATCGAAGAGAGGCATGATTCAGTGGTTCCAACAAACTTTACATCAGTCGGAATTTTTGTCTAAAATGGCTAGCAAAGCTAAGGTAACTGTAGAACGAAAAGATCCATGTACATATATGCTGAAGAAGTGTTCGTGATGCAATAGTATTCAAAAATATCATATCGTAGAAATCCCCGGTATGCATCATTTTGAACCTTTCAGTGATTTAAGTTTTTCCAGATGTTTGCAGTGTGTACTTAGTTTCTTCACTTTGATTCTAAGTAAATCAATAAATACAAATGTAATTTATTTATCAGTAGAAGTGGTTTTGTAGTCTGGACTGGATTCTGTATTAACGACATTGGATCCAGGGATGAGAGATTTCATTGAGGGTAATGATGTACTCTATGCGTTTCTTCTTTCTGAAGGTAATATGCGCATCACTGAAGCCATCAAACAAGGTCTGCGCCAGGCATTTAATGAATTAATATGCGATGTGTCACCTGCTGGATCTGAAGCGATCATCAACTATCAAATTATTGGACATGTTTCAGCTTGGCAGGTCAGGCATAATATTTTAATGTCTTATTCTTACAGAAATCACTTGTCAATATGAAGTGAAAGTACAATGAACATATTACTAACTTTATTTTATTATTTTTTTTAAACTGTTGAAACCGGTAGCTGTTTCTAGTGACCAGTAAACAATGATAGGCTATTGAAGTATTTAAAGTCTATTCTGCTCTTCAAATTCATTACATGCACGCAGTTCCATTTATTTACATGGTAACATTTATAGACTTGTTCTGTCATTAAGTTTTTGTGTTCTGAAGATGCTATTCTTTGATTAGTAAATTAATTTTACGTCGTTTTTGCAATACTATTAGAGCGTACATTTTTACTGAATATGTTCATTACTCTGCACTGAAAATTACACTTGAAATTTGAACAGTATGTAGTGTAGTACTATACTATTTTATTTTTGTAGAGAGCAAAAGAACGTCTGACCACTTTTCGAAATGAAACTACTTTAGGATCAGAAACTGTGTTAATCGTAGTACAGCCATTTTTATTTCAAATCAGTGATTATTGGTTTGACTCCTCCTTAATTCTTGCTCAGGTAATATTTTTCTCTTATTTTTTACGTTTAATTAACTACTTTACTTCTACCATTAAAGATTTGTGTATCACTTTGGCTTACATTTTTCTGAAATATATACAAATTTTCCAAAATTTCAACAAGGAAATGTTTAACTCAATGTTAAAATAGTTCTGTTCTCACTAAAGCATAACGCAAACAGATCTTTCATAGTCTGTCGATTTTGTTTCGCATGACGGTATGAAAAATTTTTAGTTCATGGTAATTTCATAATGATTTTTTTATAGAAAGAAGGAATAGAAGTTAGTGTTTTCACACAGGCGACGCAAATTGATAGTGATGTGATTACTGTGTTGAAAGTTTGTTTAAGAACATATTTAAAATTATTTTTTCATTTATTGCTAATTATAGAATGATGCATAATCTTATTTTTCATGCTTTGGAAAGAGTAAATTTGAAATTACAATTACTTCTTGCATATTTAAACGCTGTATTGTTGTAGTTTGAGACATTGTGCATCTGCTGCAGTCTTTTGTCTCTTCTTTTATTTTAGAAAATTATCATATTCTTAGCACAGTAGTTTCAAATATGCTTGTTGAATGGATAGAGCACAAAGTGAAATGATTTTTGTTACAGAAGCATACTCCAAAAGGTGATTTACATGACTCATTTGCCACGACCGTTGGTTATGGGTATGCAGAATTGTATGGCGGTGATCCCAATGATTGGCACCAAAATATTTTATCGTTTTCTTCTTTTGAACTTTATCGAGCAGCAGCATTTTCACTTGCAGCAAATCTGAAGCGAATTCTAGCAGCCTAACTTTTTATACTTTTGGGATGCGACACGGTATATCTATTTTAATTATGTAGGATTATGTAAGAACTTTTAATTGTATTTTTCACCAGAAATGCATTATGATTTGATAATGATCATTCATCCTTGATATGTTTATCAATTTCATAAGCAAAGTATTAATCTGTTTTTGAGCTTTTCCATGGAATCAGAAAATCATTGATGTAAAAGCATGATTTGTTTTAAAAACTTTCACTTTGCATTGTTTTAATTGTTTATTTTTTGCTGGTCATTTACCAAAAATTAAGTAGAAATTAAGGAACTTATTTTAACATGCATTCTATATCCGTTAGATAGTTTTGTCGCCGAAGAACTTATTAATTTTATTCCAAATGCTTTGAATGAACAATCAGTTTTGTCACGGAGAGGAGAAATTGCTTAGATTGAAATCATATTAATTTATAATTGTCATTTCAGTTTAGTAGTAGTGTACATAGAAGCTAAATTTATTTGCAGAAACTAGTTTGAAAATATTTCAGAAAGATTATTCTGGACAACTAAAAGAAGAATAAATTACTGCAAATTATTATCAGTTAAAAATTGTAATTGATTCGGTGAATGGTTTTTTATTATTCTCCTGACTTTATTTTCATTCCAGATTAATAGAAGTTTAGTTTTTTCATAGATCGTTTTCTCAAATGCTTAAATAATTTGCTTTGTTGTGTGGAAATCACTGCAGTAATAATGAATTTATGTAAAAGTATGAGTCATTATATCTTTGCTACTCAGAATATGATTTCGGTATATGTGTTCTAAATTTTGTAAGATTTTTGTTTTGCATTAGTAAGGAAGTGAGGCATAAGGACATTCATGGTTTTTAGTAGTACGAAAATGGTTTCAGTTTTTGATATAATATGAGCTACATTCCTTGTTGTATGACTGGACTTTTAAGACAGCGATAATTCTGAATACTTCACAGCAACCGTAACAGATTGTACAGGGAATCACGAAGATACACATTTGTATCAGGGTTTGTATAAAATTTAAGAAAGACATTGTTTCTTAGGTCATGGGATTCAAGTACACTACTATTTTTACTAATTTTGAATGTGTAAGAGTAAGCAGTGCAGCTGCAAATATAGACCAACTGTTTACTGCTATTAATATTCTATTCGTTGTCGAAAAATGGTAATATGATAAAGGACCTTTTTTTAGCAGTTCGTTAATCATTTAAATGTGATAAATTTTGACGCAACTAGTAGTTTCAAGTATTTAACATCCGAAGTTAATCCTTTCATCTGCTATTTTATCAAATATGCATTTACAACAAGTGTACTACGCCTAGATTTATAATGCATTTTCTATTTCGAGTGAAAGGAAAGTGAAAAATGCATGTTAAATTATTTATTTGTTTGGTGAAGTGATCTGATATAATTACAGCGAAATCCTTAACAAATTTTAGAAGACAGAAGTGTTATCATAATTGACATTTCTTGTTTCTAATGACACACTATCCAATTCTTTGTAGGAAATAATTTTATAGAAGTAATGAAAATTCCAGATGATTGATAAATTCGGCACTCACTTCATTAAATATTAGAGTTTTTTTAAAGGAACACTGTAACGATTGAACTAAGTATTTACAATTTCTTGCGAATAGTATATATTTGGAGTAATAACGAGTAAATAGATGGACGTTGTTCACAGAAAAATCGGCAGGAGAACTTATTATTTACTGCGAGCAAACAATATACCTAATGAAAAATTCTATGAACTTTGCAGTTAACATCGTAAAAAGCTAATTATTCTGTGCTGGCATGAAAGATGTAATAAAAAACAAAGCATTTCTGTAACAAAATGTATTCGTAATACCCGTCATGTCTGATTTTGAAACTTTGCGTGGTTTCCATGTGATAAAACAAAATCATGTTGAAAGATTTTTTTTTTTGAAAAAGCAGAAATTAAGGAGCAATTTTGAATATTCTAACATCTGAAATGAAGTTCACTTATTGTTTTATTTTTACAATTTTGGCTTTTCTCTTTACAGATGTCTATTTTAAAAATTTTAACTCCTTTTTTCAATTGTATTTTGCTATCTTATATTCTGAACTGAGCATATTCATCTGTTTAGTTTATTACGTGAGTTAAAGATTGACATCCTATTCGGCGTAGAAATTTTTCTGTTTAAACGAATTAAAGCTGTTTCGACAAAGCTAGATAGACATGATGAAGGAGAAATTGAAGCTGAAAAATTAAAACAAATTTCAATTTGCCAATATTCTTGCTATCATTACGAGTATTTAGTGTAATCAATACATCATTTTATTAGTTTATTTGAATAAAATTTATTATAAAATAATTGCTTCCATTAGTTTGGCTTTTTCTTATTTGCTATATTTTATTTATGTGCTCTAAAAAAAGCCAAAAAATAGTGCTTGAAAATTTTTCAAGATCTCAATTTTTTACATTGTCAATATCATAAGCATTAAATACAAATTTAATAACAATAATTGATTTCAAAAATTAAGAAAATCTCAAAAAATATTTTCAAAGTTAATAATTTTCTACATACAAAAATAATATCAAAATTGAATTAAGCTTTTTCTCAAAGAAAATGAAGATCTAATACTGATTATTCATATGAGTACAAAAAAAATGTATTTTAATTTAAGCAAAGTGTAATACTTGTTTGATATCCAACAAATCAAAATTTCTCGTTATAGAAGTAAGTTGTTGCAAATCAATAATACTTTTGTCATAAAATTCAAGAGTAACAGTTGCGCGCGAGCTTTCAATATTTTTCTTTTTATATTTCACTACATATTTTTTGACTATATTTTCATCAACTACTCATAATACATATTATGGTAATATAGAATTGTTTTTATAATTTTTTTATTATTTCCAACCTTCAGGGAGAATATTTCTGCGTAAACGTCTGCTCTGATGTTGTTGATGACTGCTCATTTACGACGGGACTTTGAAATTCAACATCTAAATGAATAGTCATATTTTTTCCATTTGGATTTTCCAATTCTCCAGTTAAAGCTTTTTCGATATTCTTCAGAATGATACGTTTTTTAGCTCTGTCCATTTCTGTTTTCGTCACTTGCGGAATAGTTGTGAAGTTTGGTTTTCCACTTTCATTCGTTAATGTTACTACGGAAATGGTAAACACAACATAATTTTAGTTGGAAACTAAAAAATATGTTTAAGATAAAAAAATGCAATCTGAAGAAGCTTAAATTTATTTTTTTTAAATATATGAATTTTAAACTTAAAATAGCATATTGCTAGTAGCACTTATTATCTATTAAAAAAAACGAAAAGTGAATAATTTTTAAATTATACAGTTCAAGAATGCATTCATCTCAATTAATTAATTCCTTAATTTCTGATTCACATTACAACAAATACGTGAAATTAAAAATAACATTTATCTCAAGATAATTTTCTTTGTGTCCTAAAATATGTAATTAGCTCATGACAAAATGTTTGAATAAAATACAATGCAGATGTACAGAACACCTGGTAAGATATGCTTATCGACCAAAAAAATTTTGATATTAATTTCTGTTGAACATTATGTATATTAATAATATTCTGCATCATTTATATGAAGAATTTCAAAAAAACTGAAAGAAAAATTTTTCAAAATGTTTCCCCAAGTTAGTATTCTTCCATGAACTGTACTAAAGTTGCAGTTTATAGGAAAATACTGTTCTTAATTGATTACCATAAAGTAAGCTTTCGAATATAAATGTATTTCAAATTTATTAATTAGTATCTATTATCATTATATTGGCATTTTTTAAATCATATAAGTTGTTGTTTGTAATTTTAGAACGAATTACTGCCAGTAAAATGCAAACAAAAAAGTTGCCTAAATTTTTGAAACTTCACTTTTCTTTTTCAAACATTTACCTAGCTGTTAAAATATATGATAACTGATAACAAATTTTAGCTAACCATTTATGGGCTGATTTGAGCAAAGCTTTTGCATTTTGCATATATCTTCAGCATATGAATTCTTCAATTTTTCTATAGTTACTTCATTTAGTGATTGCATACAAGAATTAAGATTTTTTTCATCTGTTCCAGATAATGACTCACACAATACCTAAAAATTTTTGCATAATTACTTTAACTTATCAATAAGCAATTGCTTTAAAGTTCATGATAGCCTGTATTCACCTAGCAATCATGAATCACTATATAATACACGAAATTTAAAACGAAATTCAGATTATTTCTTGAAAGTATTGCAATACAAACACGAAGAATACTAATTGAAATGATTAGAAAATTATTCATTGAATGACAGCAATCATTTTTCGACTTCAAAGTAACTGCCCTTTGATTTTTTTTGGCGGTAAATAATCATAATAACTAGATAGGATAAAAATGGTATACACGCTTATGATATCATTCATCTTTTTTGAATCTGTCAAAATGAAGCAAAATAAATGCAAACTTTCTTGTAAGATGGGTTATCCTTGGCAGTTTGCTGAAGATTTTCAATTAATGCAATACAAAATGGACAAATAATTTCAGAAGGAATTAATGTAAATTCGATTTCAGCACTAGCAAATACATTCCAGTAGATGTTAACTAAAACTAGTAGTAAAATAATATTCATTCTGGGATTTATATGAATCTGAAATAAACCATTTTCTTAAAATTGTAAATCTAAATTCAAAATAATTCAACAACATAAATTAAAAGTTTTCTCGATCATTTATTTCTGCTATAAAGAAATCACTTTAAAAAACAAAATTATTGTTTTTAAGTACTTTTATCTTGTATAAAAGTGATTATTTATGACGGGAATTTTACAAATTTTAAATTTGTTTTTGAATCAAAGTGAAGTCAGTGAGAGCAATATTACTTGAGGAAAATTTCTGCATAAATTTATCAATGTATTATTATGCATTTATAACCATAAAATAGATAAAATTTAGACTGAAATTAAAAGTAAGTATTTTTTCTTACAAATTCTTGAAATATCAAATAAAAATTATTACAAAGCACTAATAAATATAAAATAAGTAAATAAATGCATAAAACGAAAAAAAAAAACAATAGATTAGTAGTGATAAAATGTTCAATAAACATGCATTAGAAGTGATGAGAAACAATAATGATGACAATAAACAATCATGAAAACTGCCTTATGTGTAAACTTGTTTACATGTAAAGTGTTATTTGCATATTTTGGCATTTTTCTGGTTAAAATTTATAAGTGAAAAAAAAATGGAAAGAAAATGGAAGAAAATGGCATAGTGAGAGCGTATTGCTCATGTCATTTGCGTGTGTGAATGGGGTAATTGCGTATTTGCCTTCATGCGTGTCTATCTATGTCTCATCCACGCATTTCTGTACAGTAGTGCTTTATGACAGTTTTCGAACAGAAATGTATAAATGTTTAAAAGAACAAAAAGAAATTTTTTACAAAAAGAACATAAAATTAATAAAAGAATGTGATTACAACTAATATGCATTAAATTTTTATGTTTCACTTTCCTTTTGCTAATAAAATATTTGTAACAACACGTGTGTACTTATATTTTTAAACTCATATATAGCAGTGAAATATAAAAAGTCAAAGTTCAAATGCAAAGTACAATAATGTGGTAGAAAAATTTTAGACAATTTATACTATTACCATACAAACTTTTTAAAATTTGAAATTTATGCTATAAATATTATACAGGAAATGCATAATTACAGTATAATTAAAGACTTGGAACAATGTATTTATTTCATGGTTGTATCATTTAATCTTATTGATGAATTAAACAATTTATAGTATGATGAGAAACTTAGCGTATAAGAAATTTGCTGACTTTAACCAAATTAGTTTCAAAATTTGAGTTTCAAGAAAATGTGAGAAGAAAATGAAATACGGGCAGCATTTTTTAAATTGTAGAAAAAGTTTGCACACAGTTGTTTTTACAAGGAAAAAAGTGCTGAATTGAGTGTGATATCATGTTATGATTTTTGTGAACATTATTTTGAGAAAAGAGAATAAACAATTCAGTGCATTGTAATAATTCTACTAAATTACTCGCTTCTGTTAAAATGATGATAATTACCTTTATAGAAATTATTTAAAATATAAAATGTCACTTTCAAATTAAGCACAGGATCTAAATTACTTCATTACGAGAGCAGTTATTGTTTTTTGTAGGTCATACCTTAAAGGTTATCATCAAGTACACATAAATTATCAATACAAAACTTTTGAACTAATGCATTTTTTTTTTAAACGAACAGTTAGTGTTTGCAATATTTTATTGCACTAAGACAATTAAAAATACGATAGGCAAAAAATTTTCAAAAACTAGATTTAAAAAAAGTTATATAAATATTAAACATAAACAAATGATGCGAAATAATAACTGAAAAATTGTAACACAACTGATATAATTTAATTTCAAATTTCAATGTATTTTATAAATAAAACATGAGACAATAAGACTATAGTCTAGCAATATTAAATTAAGCACAATATATGCTTAAAATTATACAGTTAATAATTAACTGTTTCAGATAAGCAGATTCATTTGCAGACAAAATGAAAATGAGAGAAGTTGTAGTGAAAATTCAACATGAAGCCAGAAAATATTTGCTTTATTGAAATACAACCAATATTCATCATTATTTTTTTGATTTCATAAATAAAATAAAAGATTAGCCAGAAACAAACTAATCCAAATAAAGTTTAGTTTACTTAAGATATGAAGCAATGAAAGAGACTGAATAATATGACCAAATTTGTTTCCGATTTAGACATAATTGTTATTTACATTTTGACAGTTTCAATTTTTTCCCCCCAAAAATTGATAGAATATCCGTTTTGTTTAAGTTTTAATAAAAAAAATCAAATGCAAATAATTGACATTCACTTTATGCATTTTTACACTTTTTATCCTTTTACACCACGTGCACCAGAAGTCTATCACTGCAATTTGCGCATAAAACTTCAAACTTTCCGCTTTATTAGTATAAATGAGGCGGAAAATTGTTCTTATTCTATGTTGCAAATGTAGTTATCGTATAAAATCAATAATGTATATTTGAGAGATAAAATAAACAAGAGGAACAAAAAAATTAATGAAATTCTATATTGCTGAAAGCTGTTTATTCGAAATTATTGAGAATCAAATTTAATTTCAGCATTTTCTTCAAATACACATGACTCAATAATAATGACAAAATAATGAAGTACTACAGTTATTTTAATAAATGAGAAGACTTGGACAAAAAAGTCTAATTTAAATGCTTTAACTCATTCAAACTAAAGTTTTTTTTCATATTTTTCTTTTTTAGAGGTCAAGTATTATTGTATACAATCGCTCGGGTCTGCCCACTTGCGATCGGTTGAGCTGCCAGCTATTCGATCGCAGTACAAAGCAGGAAATGAAGGACAAACGGGAAAAAAAGCCGAGCCTGGAATCATAAATGAAAACAGATGCAAAACAGGTAAGATTGTTAAACAAACTCCGTGAAGAATATGGGAAAGCACTTGACTAGTGTATAAGAACCAGCAGAACTGAGCACCAAGTTAGTACAGCGAGAGTGTTGGAATACGATCTGATGTGAAAATTAAGATGACAGTAAAGAAGATTAACCTCTGACCTGCTGTACATGATTATATATAGATAATGATCTACATAGATTACAAACTCATATAATTTAAAACATGCATCCAATATAAGAGGTTTATATATAAGAGTATATACATATTAATATGTACAAATATTTTAAAATGTATCTGCTTATTTATTTGAGTAAAATATTATAATATGAGCTTATTTAATCACATAAACAGTATATGACATATGTGAGACAAAGCAAATTTATATATTTAAAATTTCTTGCCGACGGAATATAATTCATACTCCTCCTCTTAATCTTGGCATCATTGTTGTTTCATAGCTAATTTGCATAATTTCTATACTGCAAGTTCCATTTTCATAGCCACTCTTTGAGGCGAATGAAATTCTTACATTTTGCAAAATCACTCACTCATACTTGCTGCCAACAACAAAGCTCCTAAGCGATGTGTTTATTATGAATTAAAATCGTTGATTGTTTTGATTTGTGAATTGTTAAAATTATGAAAAACTTTATTTTTATTATATATTTCAAAGTGTAATTAAAGTTGAAATAAGCCTTATTAAAAATGAATATTACGATAGCTATAGACGCTGTGACAGCATTGTTAGAAGATAATAAAGTGCTTGCAACTTTTTCAATTAATTTTTTAACTCTTGCACATAAATTTCGTGTTAGACCGTACTAAATAGTGATATTTATTTTGCTTGCTCGTGCTCATAAATTCATGTTTAATAGCATTTCTAAACAAGTTCTACATTTTCTAACAGTTGCTTAGCATATTCTGAAGTAGACTAAACGTTAAGTAATCCGATGATATTCTAAGCTCTTATGTTACAATAATTAGCTAACTGATAAAAAAATAGCTTTTGGATTTTAATTTGAGAAAAAATAAGCAGCATTTATTGCTTTCTGGCTATTCGTTCCCTAAAGACATGTTTGAATAATTCCATTAAGACTAAAAAGTATAAAAAATGTTTAAATCGATCGTTTGTTAACGCATTCAAATACCAAAAGTAAAAGTAAGGAATTTCTACAATTTAACTAATTTTAGTAGGTAGTAAGCTTTGTTAAATTTTTCTTCTATTGCATAGATTTTTGCGCTTATTATTCTCACTTTATTCTCAGCATCCTGTATCACCCACCTTTGCTTATAATAATACGATTACTATCACTATTATTATTACTACTGCTATTTTCAATTTGCTTTTTATTTTTGTCATATATGCCATTTACAATTATTAATAGAAGACAAATTTATTTTAATCAAAAAGTGACACATTTCTGCTTGCAAGGTCAAATAATATTATGAGCATGAAAGCTTCTCATGACGTAATCAACTCAAGCAATAATTTGCTAAGCAAAATTTAATCCAGTCTGATCTAATCCATGTATATCATTAATTGCAATTCGACAACAACAAAAATTAAGCAAGCACTGCTACTACATTCCTACATTTTTTTGCTAGTCATACTAATTTCACTTACTTACTTTTAACTCAAGAAAACAAAAAAAGAAAATAACACTTTTTTGCTTGTTTTAAAATTCAGTTTATTTTCATTTTTACTCTTGAATTTTTTTATTAACACTAGCGATTCTTATTCAGTGCAAAATTTTTTTGCGTTCAACAGTAATAAATGTATAACTTTTGAAATTTTTCAAAATAGCTAAATTTAGTAGCTATAATTCTTTTAATACAAATAACTTGCAAGAGTATTCAATTCTAGTGCAATCGCGTTATAGATAAATACTGAATAATCTTGTAAATAGATGAAAATTAGTGATAATTACATTAATGATCTCGATTAATATTTGAGCTGTAAAATGATGATTATGATGCATAAAAGTGATAATGGTGGTAATGATTGATGCTAGACAATTCTACAATGTTAATAATACCCAAAAGAAAACTTGTTTAAAATTCCTTAAGCCTTTTGGGATTTTTGAAAGTCTTTGAGAATATTTAAATGGTACTCCGAAATGTTACATACATAAAGTGCTGGCAGTAGTTTACAATCA